TCGGCCTTTTAACTCTGTTCCAAGAGGTTTGAAGGGAGTTTTTTCCTTTCTTCCTAGTGACAAATAGCTTCTGTAGCTAGTAGGGAGTACTCATCCTGGACTGGCCTTCTGAGAGCTGCCTTTACGTGTGTGATCACCCGTCCATTGCCAGCCAGGCAAAGGTACGGTCGCTTTAGTGGTGCCTGTGGTTTGTGCTCTGCTTGTAAAGGTGGGCAGTTCAAGCCTATACAAGGTTGCAACTGAAGAACACCCTGCTAGCCTGCTTTCATGAAGATTGTGGCCAAGAAGGCTACACTTCTGTGCCCTGACACAAGGGCAGCGTCACCGTGTTGTTGGGCACCATTGAGTCAGCTCTGACGCGTAGTGACCCTTTGGACAACAGAAGGAAACACTGCCCGGTCCTGCGCCATCCTCACAATTGTTATCTTTGAGCCCATTGTTGGAGCCACTGTGTCCATCTTGTCCAGGGCTGCCGCCTTTTTCGCTGCCTCTGTACTTTTCCAAGTATGATGTCATTCTCCAGGGACTGGTCCCCTGGCAACATGTCCAGAGTACGTCAGATGAAGTCTCTAAGGAGCATTCTGGCTGGACTTCTAAGAGCTTGGTTCTCCTTTGGTAGTCCTTGGCACTTTCGACATTCTTCGCCAGAACCATCATTCGAAGACATCGGTTTTTCTGTGGTCTCCCTGTTCAATGTCCAACTCTCCTATGCATAGTCAGCCATCGAGACTACTGTGGCTTAGGTCAGGTGTACTTTAGTCCTCACAGGACAACATCCTGGCTTTTCAACACTTTAATTAAGAGGTCTTGGGCAGAAGATTTGCCGAATTCCATGTGTTTTGTTCTCTTGACTGCTGCTTCCTGAGCATGGACGGTGGATCCAAGCAAGACAAAAATCCTTGACCATGTAATCTTATCTCCGTGTATCATGATGTTACTTATTGTCCAGTTGTGAGGATTTTGGTTTTCTTTATAATGAGTTACAATCTATACTAAGGCTGCAATCCTTGATCTTCATCAGCAAGTGCTTCAAGTCCTCCTCACAAGCAAGGTTGTGCCGTCTGCATAAGGCAGGTTGTTAATCAGTCTTCCTCCAATTCTGATGCTAAAGTCTTCATCTAATCGAACGTCCCTGATTATTTGCTCAGCATGCAAATTGACCAACTGTGGTGAGAGGATACAATCTTGCCTGATTCTAAATGAGCCAGTATTCCCTTGTTCTGTTTGTACAACTGCCTCTTGATCCATTTATAGATTTCACATGAGCCCAATGAAGTGTGCTATAATTCCCATTCTTCTCACAGCCATGAGAATAGTTTGTTACCGTTCATAGTCAAACGCCTTTGCAGGGGTCACTGAGTCTAAATCAACTGCCATGGGTTTAACCCAGAAGTGGGCATTCTTGGGTGGTGCCATGGCCAGGCTACCAACACCACACACAAGGCTACTCAGCAAAGGTTGGAGGTGTTTGAGCCCAGGGGCCCTCAGAAGAAAGGCCTGGTGCTCTGTGTGTGGCGATTCAGCCAGGAAACCCTAATGGAGCATGATGTACTCTGACACACACCGCTTTCAGTGAGTTGGCTTTGGCTGGGTAGCAGCTGGTTTTAATTTAGATCCTAATGGACCCTCATGTCCTGTTTGAGGAGAGTAGCATGGTGACCAGCCAGGTCCCCTTGGAGAGCTAGCCACATCTTTCTGTTGGCCTACGGCCAATGTAAATGGACATTTAAGTGAGCACTCCAGTGTTCGTCCTTCAGTGGCTACCGTAATAAGGGACTCTCCTTTTTGTCCTGCATTTGTCTCCTTTCTGCCACCACATGAATACACCACACTGCTTGGAACTCAGACTGTCTTGTATTTCCACCCATCTCTTCGTGGCTGTTCTTGTCTTTGCATGCTCATCAGTACCCGGACACAAATGGCTGTCCCGTGGATCTGAGGCTGTGGGAAAAGCAAGGATCTCTGGCACCTTTGCAAGGCCAGACACCCATGCCGGAGACCTAAGAGAATGCTGTGGAGGTGTATTTGGTAGTGGCATTTTTCAGAATAATGAAACTGCAGAAGCCCGTCAGATAGGCTTTACATGTGTGCAGTAAAGTGAGAAAGGCAGACTTGCTCAGATGTTCGCTAAGGTTGGCCATAGCCAACAGGGAGGACATTACTGGTTCCCAGTGGGGCTGATAGGCAGTTGGGCCCTGGCCTGATCAGCATGTCAAAGCCCATGGCTAGTAGAGCAGTTGCCCCCCACAGGAGCATCTATAGTAATGAGTGTCTTGGGTGTATCCCTAAATCCTACATTGTAAACACACACACACACACACACACACACACACACACACACACACACACACTGATTTCAAGATGAATTGACTTTGGTGGTGCCCCTTTCCCCTCTTGTCCCACTGGCTCCCTCAATCAGGTGCCTCTTATATTTGTGGCATCTGGACACGCCACCCTTTCCCTCATCTGACACTCCTTGGAGGTATGCCCAGGGAGAAATGCCCCTCTGCCTGACCCCCACCTTTCCTACGTTAAGCTTGAGGAAAGGTGTTAGAATAGGAAACTGCTCAGAGGCACCCCTTCAGGTGGCAGTGACCAGAGCATGTGCCAGATCTCCCATCTCATAATTATGTCTGTCCTCTGGGGAGGCCACCACCGCCCCTTCTCTTTCAGCTCGCCACAGGCCTCCAGCTAATAGCCAACCCTGTGCTTCTCAAGCATCTTGAATGCTAGCATTCCTCAGTATTTGGTTTTATGTTTGGGCCCCTGTGTTCATTGCATCCCCCCTTGGAGAAGTGTAACTTAATGGAAAATTAACTTGGAGACTTTGTGAAAGTTCTAGCAAGTGACAGGTGAGGTGATGTTTAGGGAGCTCTGCGGCACCGTTTCACAGAGTACAGTTCAAAGGTCGCAAGGCCCCGGGGAAGTTTCCCACATCCCCTCCTCTTTGGTCACACCGTCTATCCCGGGACAACCGGAGTGTTCGTTTTAGGACAGAGTGAGCATGGACAGGAAAGGAAAGCGCTTCTGGAAACCACTTCTTATCCAGCTCTCCCAGGGCCCCACCCCCACCACAACCCACCCACGTTGACCAGCAATGGTAGGTAACTGAGGTCGGCCCAGGGGAGCCTTACCCCTCCTTGTTGCCCCCACGTCCAAGAAGAGTAAGGGCGTGTTCCTTTGCGATGGCAAAGCTGGAGGTGTGCATCGTCCTCTTCTAGTACGCTTCGTTTCTGGGGAGCGCTGGAGTTCTTGCCCGTGAAGCCGAGTGGCACCTATGTCTCTCTGCCGCGGGCTCTCTGCTCCCCGGATGTTAGTTCTATGAACGTGGCAGCGAGGGCCGGGGCTGCTTGCCACAGGGGCCCAAGCGTGCAGACTGCCGCAGGGTGATCTGACTCCTTGGCGTGTGCTCGCCCAGAGGTGAGAAGTCGCTCTGTGTGAGCCTCATGTTCCGTGTGTAGATGTGGTAGCTTAATGCCCAGCTAGTTCAGGATGGGAGTAAACCCAAACTCGTTGCCATCGAGTCCATGCTGATGTGTGGCCTTCGGCGACTGTAACTTAATGGAAGTAGAAAGCCCAGCTTTTCTCTGGCAGAGCAGCATGCTAGTGATTTCAAAGGGCCAACCATGTGGCTCCAACCCAAACTCATAACCACTAAGCCACCAGGGTTCCTAGATATGATTAGGGAATCAAATTTAGGGGAAAAGATTTCTCACAAGGAGGAGATGAGCCAGTCAGGGTACAGTAAGCACCGAGGGAATACAACTTTCCTCTAGTTCTTGAATGCTGACTCCTCCCACTATCATGACCTCAATTCTACCTTACAAATCCGGCTAGACCAGAGCATGTACACAGGTGCAGATAAGATCTCACAACACAGGGAATCCAGGACAGATAAAACCCTCAGGATCAATTTTGAGAGTAGCAATACCAGGAGGATAAAGGAAAGGTGGGGGTGGGGTGGGGAGAATGGGGAAACCAATCACAATGATCTACATATAACCCCCTCCAGGGGGGATGGACAACAGAAAAGTGGGTGAAGGGAGACGGCAGTCTAAGACATGAAAAAGAATTTTTAAATAAATTACCAAGGGCTTATAGAGGGAGAGCGGTGGAGAAAAATGAGCTGATATCAAGGGCTCAAGTAGAAAAATGTTTTGGAAATGATGGCAACATATGTACAAATGTGCTTGACACAATGGATGTATGCACAGATTGTGAGGAGTTGTAAGAGACCCCAATAAAATTAAAAAAAATAAAAAGGGTAAATTAGCAAGACAAAACACAAAGCCCCACAAACCTATTGCACGGACACAAGCATCCCTCTAGGACAGAAACCCCCCACCCCCGCCTCCATGGGGTCTCCACACGGAAGCAGACCGCCACGTCTCCCACCCACAGAGAG